TGTCAGGAGACTAAAGCACTCACTAACCAATTTTAACAAAGAAATTCAACGTAATGAAGGCGTGGTTTTTTTAGAGAGAAAATATCGCATTCGATATACTGATATCGAAACTGAACTCGAATGCGATATTTTCTCTCTAAAAAAACCACGCCTTTATTTCGTTGAATTTCTTTGTTAAAATTGGTAAGTGAGTGCTTTGGTCTCCTGACAATAGAATTGCGATCTCAAAATTGGAGAAAAATGACGAGTAGCTGAAAAAATCGAACCAATTGATGCGATGTATCGCATGCCGTTCTGACACAAAATATGGCGTCCATCGAATCACCTTAAACTACTTGTTAACATCACAAAACGGAGGATGCATTCAAAATGCGAAAAAAAGTGAGTTTGGCATTGAATTGAGAACGTTTTCTCGCGGTAATCGAGTAAATCACCCGGGAATAGTTTATGTATAATTAAACGTAGAGAGTATTCTAATTCACGAAGAGACAAGAGAGGCATGCACTAAGCTGCCGTGCTAAGGAATAACGCCGTATGAGCCTTCAGAAGTTGCTATATTCCCTCCAATAGAAGTCGAAGTTACCCGGAAAGTTGAGAACATTTTCCCCTCAAATTTTTCAGAAAGTTTTGTTCGCAACTTAATCTAAAATATCTGAAAATTCCAAGGAAAAATATGCAAAACTTCCTTACAAATGCGTGTTTAATTCGAGGAAATTTGGCAGCTCTCGAATGTTCATACGGCGTCCTTCCCTAGCGCGGCGGTAAGAAGGTGCACTGAAACTGAAGGAAATGAGAGAGAAGAGAATAGCACAGTTCTCCAAGCAAAAAATGCATTAAGAAAAATTACTCTGCGGGAGAATTTAAATTTATGAAGGTAAATCTAAAGTGCGGAGAAGCTTTGAGCAAGTCTTGCAGTATGATCTGTGAAGGAAATAAACGAAGAATAGAGCATGCGGGTTTTCGTTTTGTTTTTATTTCGAACAGCGTCTTTTTTTTCAATTAACGCCCTCGTCGACAGCCTTTTCGGAATGATTCAACTGAGGAAAAGTTAATGAAAATATGACCCCTGAGTTTCCCGGGAAGAGGCACTCTCAGGAAGTCAGAGATTAATTTCATTTTTCCATTCCGGTATTTTGGAAATACAATTTCTGCAGAAATAGGCCGTGAAATAAATGGATGCTGCGCTTGAAGGGCTTTTAATAATAGGCCAAACAACAATTGACCAACTTCGTTGCATAGCTTCCCTTCATAATTTCATTAAAAAAAGGGGGGAAAAAAAATCTGCACAACGGTAAGGGTGGAGATTAACTACGATAGGTAAGATATCAACAGTAGTGCTAAATTATGAACGTCATTTGGATATTGCTATTCCATCGATTTTAATATCAAAGACTTGTCTGACTGATCCCAGAAAGGCTTTAAAATCCAATACGGCGGTCAAAATGATTGCATTCAATGGCGCGAATATTAGAAATTAAATTACTAGATTCACCCGATAAGATTTGCTGGGGTTTTTTGTGCCGTATATTCTAAAAAATAAGTTCGAAACATCCATATTTGATCGGATGAATCATGTGACTCCTCGATATCTACGCCATAACTCCAGTTGTTGCAGCATGGAGCTGATTCAGAAAACCGGAGCGCCTGCAATCTTGCGTGCATGCAACACGCACGGCCCTCGAGCGCGAAGAGTTGCATCCACCGTACCGCTGTTGCACTATCGTTCAAGTAAAGGAAAGGGAAAAAGGGCCCTGCTTCACAGGAACTTAAAGTTGGTCTTAGATAACAGAAAATAGAGGGGTCTTCTAGGACCAATTTGTCACAAAAAATTCCCAAAAATTCAGACCGAAAGGTAGATTATATCGAAGCGAAATAGTAAAACAAGAAAGGGAATGGGCGGTGAAAATGCAGATAACATTTTTAAATGCGTTTAAACATGCCCGTAGTTCATTCAACGTCTTAAAACTCCTCTATTTATGCTCAGATGTAAATTGAATGTTAACTATTTATTCTTCATTCATTTCAGTTTTCTCATTCGACTCATTGTCAGTCGTTAGTAAGCAGGTATATCACAAAAGTGCCCAAGAATTCAGACCGAAAGGTAGATTATATCAAAGCGAAATGGTAAAACAAGAGGGGGAATTGGGCGATGTGAAATGCAGTTAAAATTTTTAAATGCGTTTAAACATGCCCGTAGTTCATTTAACGTCTTAAAACTCCCCTTTTTATGCTCAGGTGTAAATTGAATGTTAACTACCTATTTTTCCTTCATTTCAATTTTCTCATTTAACTTATTGTTAGTCGTTAGTAAGAAGGTATTGTACCGTATTAAATACTTACTAATCAACCATTACTTCCATATCGACGGTGAAACTACCAAACCACGTATCTCGGTTTGCGACGTCGCAGACTTCCTGTCATACTTTATTTTTTAAATGAAAAACTACTTAACATCTAGTCTTGAAAATTTCTGTGATTTTTCCTCTTTGTGCGGAGAAAATTCCGTGAAAATTTCAAGGAATGATATTGATTTGGTCTACTTCAAAAAAATAAAGTGTGAGCGTAGATTTTTAAACACCGCAAACGAGATACGTGGTTTGGTAGTTTCACCGTCGATATGTAATAGCGTTATGGAATAGCATAATTAGCGAAATTCATATTCGAAGGATTTACGCGGAAACGGCGTGAACCAATACAATTTACGTGTTGCACATAATATTAAACAAAAGAATAAACGTGTGGGAAAATCTCTCGGGGCATCTATTCGCCAGAATTCCAGGATTGAAACTGTTTGGCAAGAGGATGCGGTGGAGTCCTGTTCGAGTCTGTGAGTGGAAACTTTAATCCCATTATGCTCATTCTTTTGAATGAAGAGGACGAAACTTTAGTTTCAAGAGAGGGATTTTAATTTAAAGTGATCGAGAATAACGTAAACGGTTTTGTTTGCTCTTTAAGCCGGAGGGAGTTGACTGAACATTTCTATAAAGCTAAGAGATTAAAAGAGGTCTAGGAAAATGGAGACAGTGGGAAGCGAAATGAAGGAGGCAAGAGGTCAGGTGAGCGGTGAGTGGGGAAGAGTGACAGGAAAGGTAATGAATTATGCAAGAGTGGCCTCCATATCTTGGAAAACGTTGCATCCTTGCGTTTACTTTTCATGATTATCGAGATATTTCTTTCTGTGCCGCGAGTAAGTTAAGGAATTCTAGGCTCTATCAAACAGAAAAACAGAGAACTAAGTCAGGAATCTTTGACATGTCAACAGCTAAAGTGCGAAACCGCATATCGACGGTGAAACTACCAAACCACGTATCTCGTTTCCGGTGTTTAAAAATCTACGCTCACATTTTATTTTTTTGAAGTAGACCAAATCAATATCATTCCTTGAAATTTTCACGGAATTTTTTCCGCACAAAGAGGAAAAATCACAGAAATTTTCAAGACTGGATGTTAAGTAGTTTTTCGTTTAAAAAATAAAGTATGACAGGAAGTCTGCGACGTCGCAAACCGAGATACGTGGTTTGGTAGTTTCACCGTCGATATCTCTATTGCGGTATTTCAAAATTCCGGCTCCTATTTTATATTTTCGAGGAGAGAAAATTCAATTACACAGCTTCACTGCTGATGGATAAGAAAAATCAAGGAAATTTTTAAGACATTAAGTTGACTAGCTTTCCAAAGAAAGATAAAGTATGGTGGAAGTCTACAACGTCGCAAACAAAGATTCGTGGTTGCGCACTTCAGCCATCGATAATCTCTGCAAGTATCTTTTGCTGCCTCGATTTAAAAGTTCCTGCGTACGTCTAATATCTATACGAAGATGTAGCGCATCGAAAAACACGGCGTGTAAAGTTATCCACCGAGATGGTGCATGCCATGGTTTCTTCCACCTTGTTTTTGAGCAACCAGTGCAAATCAGAGAACTGGGCAGTTTAATTTTTTACGAGAAAACGTTTGTGCGAATCCCTTCGAAAATTAAGAAAAATTTGCCTCGTGCTATGCAGAAAATTCACTGAAATTTGCACGAACATCCGCAAAATCGTTTCCATGGATAAAATTGCCCGATTAAAATTGGCAATAGCTGACGTGGCTTGGTTCCTTTATGCTTAACGCGGTCTAATTGACTCATTCTGCCGCGGTAAGGAAGAACGCCGTATAAAAATTCGAGAGTTTCCAAATTTCCTTCGATTTCCTAAAAGTTCGCGAGAAACACGATGGTGCCACTGGTTTTCTCTGAAATCATCTCCCAAGCTCAATAAAAGCTCTCAAAGTGAGGCCAAAATGGAGGGGATATCCCGCCCTACCCTGAGAGTCCACCTCTACAGCAAGACAAACTCTCCATGCAAAGATAGGGAGCAACTACATTAGCAGGGTTGCCGTGTTTTCAGTTTTGGAGTCCCCAAATGAAGTGGCAGCCCTGTCAATGTATTTGCTCCCTATCTTTGCATGGAGAGTTTTTCTTGATGTAGAGGTGGACTCTCAGGGTAGGGCGGGCTATCTCCTCCATTTTGGCCTCAACTTGAGAACTTTTTTTGAGCTTGGGAGTGGATTTCAGAGAAAACCAGTGGCACCATCGTGTTTCTCACGAACTTTTACATAAGAAACATCAGTCAAATCGTAAATCCCTTACACATGCAACATCTCCATCGCGGACAAAATTATCTATAAAATTGGAAGGAAAAGATTCATAAGTGTACCAGGGAATTCGTGTTTTATCAAAGGAAATTTGGCAACGCCTGAAGGTACATACGGCGTTTTCCCGTAGCATTGCTTATGGGAGTAGTGACGGGAAGCGGATTAGTGGAGATGGAAGGAGATCACGAGGGTGCTTCGGTAGAGGTAGGATGGGCGAGCTGAGCGAACGAGGGAGAGGGACTTACATTCTCGTCAAAAATCTCTGTTTCTTCATCGCTGACGTCACAGTCGTCCAAAGCGAGCCCTGAAACGGTGATTCCGGGCGCGGTGGCCGTGCGGGAGGGGCCGAAGCCAGCGGGGGTACTTACGTCCTCGTCGTGGTCGAAGGCGTTGAACACGTCGTACGGGAGGCAGGAGAGGAGGTCGATGACGAACCACGACTTGAGGTAGTTCATGCGGATGACCTTCGGGTCGGAGACCACCTCCCCGCCGGGGCCCACGAACGTCGTGTGGAAATTGAGCACGATGTCGATGAAGAAGATCACGTCCACGATCGAGTCCACCACCAGCAGCGAGACGTCCTCCGAGGTCTGCTCCGACCAATCAAAACATCCAAATTATTCGTTACTCAATCCACTTACTACAAGGAAAAAACACTAAGGCCCAGTCCACACGGGTTCGACAAGGAACAAACGGAATGAGAGAAGGAACGGAGAAAGGAATTTGAGAATGGGCCGGTCAAAGATTACGAAAAACGTTCAATTTGTGTAATCTTTTATTCCCGTGTGTGACTCCATGAGGGGGTGTCGTCTTTACTCTCAAGGGACTCTACACCGGCTGAGCGCTTGAACTGTCAATTCGAGTCGAACATTTTGAGCTCATGGGCATGAGTACAAGACTGAGGGGGGTTCCTCAGGCCCTGTCCACAAGAGTGCGGTTCGCGGAACTTATTCCTCGAACTTCTCAGTTCCCGGAACTTATTCCTTGAAACGGGGGATGCTGTCCACACGAGTTCGCCCGAACTGGAACCGGAACTTCAATAAAACTATACAATTATCGCAAAATAATAGATTATTACGACCGCCAAAGTAACAAAAATACATGTCAAGACATGTAAAGGACGTAAAAAACAAAAACAAGCAAATTCACATCAAAAGAAACATATGTAGAAGCTCGGGGTACGGGGGAAGTTCCGGGTTTTGGAGGAATAAGTTTCAGCTCAGCTAAAAACTTGTTCCAGGAACAAGTTTTAGCTGAGCTAAAACTCATTCCTCCAAACCCCGGAACTCCCGGAACTTCCCCCGTACTCCGAGCTGCTATGTTCCTTTCCTTGTGAATACGTTTGTTTTTGTTTTTTGCGTCCTTTATGTCTTGACATTTGTTTTTGTTACTCTCGCGGCCGTATTAATCTATTATTTTGCAATCATTGTATGGTTTTTGGAAGTTCCGGCTCCAGTTCGGACGAACTCGCGTGGACAGCATCCTCGTTTGTTCGTCGAATAAGTTCCTCGAACCGCGCCTCTGTGGACAGGGTCTAAGGAACCCCCCTCAGTCTTGTACTCATGCCCATGAGCTCAAAATGTTCGACTCGAATTGACAGTTCAAGCGGTCAGCCGGTATAGAGTCCCTTGAGAGTAAAGACGACACCGGACACCCCCTCATGGAGTCACAAACGGGTATAAAAGATTACACAAATTGAACGTTTTTCGTAATCTTTGATCGGCCCATTCTCAAATTCCTTTCTCCGTTCCTTCTCTCATTCCGTTTGTTCCTTGTCGAACCCGTGATTCCTCGGTCCATTCCAGATTATAATCTTTGCAATTGGTGAAAATGTAAACTTCGGTCCCGTTTGTGACACTGTGGAGGCCTAAAATACGGTAACCAATCAGAAATGGATTCACATTGTCTTGACTCTCAGTATAAAGGGACTCTAAGCCGGTAGAGAGCGCTACCCACGTAGCACAGATTGCAATGAGTAGCAATTACATGGTAAAAATATTTCAATTTAACTGTTTCTTGTATATGTTGCCTGGCTCCTATATGAAGGGGCTCCATTTATTGAAACTTATTGCAATACGATTGAAATAAGTTGCGATTTTTAATTGAATTGCATGTTGCATATCTCTCTGACACATGGAGCTCATTTTGTTGATTGTTCGGTTTTAGGACATTTCGTCAACGATTTTTTTTCCGCGCACCTGTTTTTTCCAGTTATTCATACGTCCACGCGTTTTTTTGACACGGGAGTTTTGGTCCACGTGCCAGTTGCGACCCAAAGTTAATTGGCCCACATGTAAATACAAACGACAATTGCTCACGACGTTTTTGGATGAAAATGTAAAATGTCTTGGAAGAATGAGGGTTTGCTTGTTTTTTTTTGTTTGGTCTGTTTGGTTCAACGGAGAATAATATATAGTTGAGAGTTTTGGTAAAAATGGGGAAGCGTCAATTCCATGAGACAAAATTCACTAAATACTCTTAATATTCACTTAATACTCGCATAGTCAGCGTTTTTTAACTAATGATTTTGAAATTTTTGCACACGCTGCATTGATTATTCTCATTTAAATTGATGGGGAAAAAATATGTATCAATTTATCAAAGGAGAATAATAATATAATGTGTGTTTTTTGAATGTTGGTGGTTCCGTGTCAAATTTAATGATTTCCAAAGCACTTTAATTTTTTCTTTTACATTTTATGCTTTTATCGTGCTGCAGTGAGGTGTACGCGCAACCTCATAATTTGACGTATTTGACTCTAAAAGATCGATGTACAAATGGGTTAAAACTAAAGATTGCGTCCTTCTTGGTTTTTCTCCCCCTTTTATTTATTTTTGCAGTTTCTGTCGGCACAACTGCGGTTTATTGAGATTAATGTCGATTGGAAAAGGTTTTACAAATATTTGTCACGTTTTAAAAATATGAATGTTTTCAAAACGAAGTAATAATTTCGTAAAAAAAAATTAAAAAAATAAACAAAAGTACCTATACATATATAAGATATGTTGTACATCGAATACTCCAAGGATAGAAATAAAACCAAATATTCACCAATGACAATTTAAAAAGATGATTCAAAAGGAGAAAGTAAGAACATTTCATTTAGAAAAGGAGCAGCCATAACAACACCTCCCTCTCTCAATTTCTTATTTCCATATTGTCAATATAATTTTACATACCGCCTAAAATATAACGCTTGAACCAAGTCACCGTTGCTTATTTTACGTGTGGGCGTGAACTACTGGACAAAAAAGGTGCGCGGACAAAAAATCGTTGACAAAATGTCCTGACTTCGATTGTTTAAAATCGGCATAAATCGACTAAATGACGTAAAAAAATTGCAATTTATCAGTAAAATAATTACAATTGTACTGAATTCAAATTGAAATTTAATACCAGCATTTTCGTAGCACTGTGCTACTTGGGTATTTGACTTCAACCTGCCTCTAGAATGGGTCGGTTGCGCTAGTCACAGAATCGTGTTTCGATGCTTGATTCTTGTGTATCAGCTAAAAATAATAAGATCCGCCCAAACAGCAACTTTCTACGTTCAATATTAGCCGAGATATCCCCCTTTGAAAAGTCAGGTTTTTGACGCCCTCCACCGCAGTAGTGACACCCTCGGTTTCTTCCACTTTGCTTTCATTTATCAGGGAGGCTCACCTTTTTACTAGCTGGTTACTTAATATGAAACTCGGATGAAAGCAAGGTGGAAGAAACCGAGGGCGTCACTACCGCGGTGGATAAACCGAATTTTTCGAAGCGCGATATCTCGGCAAATTTTGAACGTAGAAAGTTGCTGTTTCGACGGATCTTATTATTTTTTGATAATCTACAAGAATCAAGCGTCAAAAGACGATTCAACTGACCCATTCTAATATACTGGTGGCAATGTGTTCAAATGGCTCACTAGCTCGACCAACAGCAAGATAGTGGGAAGGGGCCTAACATATTTAGAATAGATAAATCTATGATATGCTTATTTAATACTTCTGTTTCTAGTCGTCTTTCCATTATTTAATTTTTTCGTTACCTGTTCCTGGATTCTTAATGATATGATTTAGATTTCATCTTGGCTCCGTCCACAAATTCTCAGCAGTGGGTGTCAACTAGATTTCAAACCAATTTAGTGCAAAAAAATAAACACTTTACTAATCGATTGTCAACCTCAGAGGAATATTAAAGGATTGGAGGTTGAGTACAAAATCAACTCATCCTTCATCTAAGCCACTGACTTCGGTTACTTCTGAGGTTGATTTTAGGTTTTCTGGACAAATCCAAATTTTTTAAAAAAAAATGGTTGTTAAGGAGTTAGACAAAATGAGACATGAAAAATAGAGGCAATAAACAGATGACTATGTACTGCACCAAAGCTTGAAGGGGCTAATCACACACCACTCTGCGCAAAAAATGTACACAAAATCTAAAGTTGAACTTTAGTTTGAACTTGAATTTTACCTTTCATCTTAGTCTCATTTTGCCTGGCTCTATCACAGTCATAGAACTGAATTGAAATGGACCACTAGACAAGGTACGAATTTAAGCAATCTGATACATGTTTCTTAAGCAGAATTTCACGTAAAACACGATTCGCGCAACGAAAAGTACTAAAACCAGCTCCTGATGAAGATATTCACCTTTTCATTTCACATTGGTTACGCGGATTTTGAACTGCCCGCTCACAAGAAACTCAAAGCTCTACGTGAGTCAAATCGCGCACCACTACAGTTTCAGCTAGCCTCTCAATCGATCACTGTTCATAACCCACCATGTGTTGTTCAAATTATAAGCAATTTGCTTTAGCTGAGCCCAAGCGTCAAAATTGAAGTTGCCAGATTTTTATATCGCAAAGACTGTCATGATAATGTTCAGCGCGCGATGCGAATCACGTAGATCATTGATAGTTTTAATGAGCGGGTGGTTTGAATTCACGCATCAGGAATCATTTAATATCATTGTAAGGAGTTGATTTCGGTAATTTTTGTTGTGCGCATCGTGTTTTACGTGAAATTTTGGTTAAAAAATATGTATCAGAATACTTGAATTCGTACCTTGTCTAGTGGTCCATTTGTGTGAGAAGTTTGAAGACGAAACGTGGGGCATACCTTGTTCTTGAAAGCTACGTTGTAGGGCACCATGATGGCTGTGTAGAAGGTGAGGCAGAGAATGACCCAGTCCCAGATGGCTTTGAAGGCGCAATAGTGTAGGAGGATATGCGGCGGCGTCTTGGGCGCTTCTTGTCGGTATTGAGGCATCACGTCCGCGTTCAAACTCATCATCTGAAATTCCGTTAAAGCCACCAGATCAGTAATCATTGCACACTTACACGATGGACCACTAGACAAGGTACGAATTTAAGCGATCTGATACATGTTTCTTAACCAGAATTTCACGTAGAGAACGATTCACACAACGAAAATTACGGAAACCAACTCCTAACGAAGATATTAACGTTTTTATTTCACATTGGTTACGAGGAATTTGAACTGCCCGCTCACAAGAAACTCAAAACTCTACGTGAGTCAAATCGCCCGCTACAACGGTTTCAGCAAGCTTCTCAATCGAGCAATGTTCATTTCCCACCATGTGTTGTTCAAACTATCAGCAATGTGCTATAGCTGAGCCAAAGCGTCAAGATTGAGGTTGCCAGATTTTTATATCGCAGAGACTGTCATGATAACGTTTAGCGCGCGATGTGAATCACGCAGAGCATTGAGTTTTCATGAGCGGGTGGTTTGAATTCACGCATTAAGAATCATTAAATATCTTCGTAAGGAGTTGAACTCGGTAATTTTCGTTGTGAGCATCGTGTTTTACGTAAAATTTTGGTTAAGAAACATGTATCAGAATGCTGAAATTCGTACCTTATCTAGTGGTCCATTTCACGAAGCTCAAGGAATTTTACACTGTTAAGGTGATTCGATGGACGCCATATTTTGTGTCAGAACGGCATGCGATATATCGCATCAATTAGTTCGATTTTTTCAGCTACTCGTCGTTTTTCTCCAATTTTGAGATCGCAATTCTGTTGTCAGAAGACTAAAGTACTCACTTACCAATTTATTTAAAAAAGAAATTCAACGTAATAAAGGCGTGCTTTTTTTAGAAAGAAAACATCGCATTCGATACTGATATCGAAACTGCACTCGAATGCGATATTTTCTCTCGAAACAAAACCACGCCTTTATTACGCTGAATTTCTTTGTTAAAATTGGTTAGTGAGTGCTTTAGTCTCGTGACAACAGAATTGCGATCTCAAAATTGGAGAAAAATGACGAGTAGCTGAAAAAATGGAACCACTTGATGCGATATATCGCATGCCGTTCTGACACAAAATATGGCGTCCATCGAATCACCTTAATGAGAAACTCGAAGAGTGAAATTCGGCGCCGGAGTCTATTTATCGCCCAAAAATCCCGAGGACTGTGAATGCGGAGTGAAATTAGCATCATAGAAGCGTATCGCACTCCGCGAAAAGAGTAGATTCCACTCCGTGTTCATGCCAATCGAGGGTTTTGAGCGCAAAATAGACTCTGGCACAGGATCTCACTCCAAAATGTATAACGAAGTAGTGGAGTCTATGCATGCAGCGAAGGTTCTCGATCGAACTCTCCGCCGCGACGCTGATTCTTTACCAATCATTTTCCATCATTAACGCAAGTATTTTGGTGGTTAAGTCTAGAGTCCCTTTATACTGAGAGTCAAGACAATGTGAATCCATTTCTGATTGGTTCCCGTATTTTAGGCCTTCACAGTGTCACAAACGGGAATAAAGATTCCATTTTCACCGATTGCAAAGATTATAATCTGGAATGGACCAGGGAATTGAGGGTGCGGCAAGGAACAAACGGAATGAGAGAAGGAGCGGAGAAAGGAATTTAAGAATGGGCCGATCAAAGATTACAAAGAGCGTTCAATTTCTGTAATCTTTATTCCCGTTTGTGACTCCATGTGGGGTGTTGTCTTGACTCTATAAAGGGACTCTAGTTAAGTCGGTAGAGTGACTCTTAAAATTTTTAATGAAATCAACTTTGACTGTATCATTAGGTACAGACTGTATCAGACAGCCCATGTCATTAGGATTGATTGGAGGCAGATGGGCTCAATTACATCGCAACGTTCACATTATTCTTTCATGAGCTCATTTCATACATACATTAAAAGTTCCAGAGGCTTCTTGATACAAGGAAAATTTTCACACAAAATCTGAGAGCTTTTCTAATGTTCTTAAAAATATAAGTATATTGTCAAGGGTTGCAACTTTGCAACGCAATTAAGTCCCTCTGCCTCTGATCCTTTCATTTGAAGTTTTGTTAAAATTAATTCGAATTCAATTGAGGTCCTGCTAAAATAACACAAAAACATGACTCGATGTGAAACAATATTAATCAAAATCTTTACATTTCATTAGTATTGTTTTATCTCTTTACTTTCTTCAAGAGAGCGAAGATGTAGACTTTGTCGTCCTGGGACTTCCTGTGCCCAAAAGCAATGTTTGATCGAACGTTTACATCTGACCTCCGATCACCAAATCCATCATTCTTTTTTTCACAGCAACATACAGTTTTGCCAAACGTATACTGTCATTTGAGGTCCTATTTAGACTACAAACGATCCAAAGCGTCATTCATCAGACACCATTCGGTGGGAATTACTGATGATTGTTCGGATAAACTTTTCCCCATGACTCTATGTTTTCACGCTCAAAATGAGGCGTTCTTTCTTAGCACAGCAGAACAGGCCAAGGCTCTCAAACTCACACGGTTCTTTGATACGACTATTCGTGCTTCATGGATGAGCTTGAAGTATCATCAAAATTGAAGGCGAAATGAGACACTTGGTCTTGACTTCGACTTCGTGCTGCGCTTAAGTTTTAAAGCTTAGTAAATAAAAAGCGCAAGGTTTAGTGACCCATTGCATACTAAATGAACTATCCGGTTCGTAGGGCCTAGGTTTCGTCTCTCAGGGTTGCCACGGGATTTAAAGAATGAAATTTCCTGATATTTCCCTGATTTCCCTGTCACATTTTGGTAAAATTCCTACAAGATTGAGGATATGCCAGATACTTAAAAAGACATGATTTGGAATGGGTTTCAGGAAAAATGTGTGGTTCGAAACGTCAAACCCATTCTAGAAAGGCAATTAAGGTGACTTTGCGATTTTCTCCTGATATTTCCCGGATATCCCTGACTTTCTAAAATTCCCTGGCATTTCTCGGTTTTCCGGGTTTTACCTGACTGTAGCAACAACCTTGGCTCTCCGAGTTCTTTTCTTTTTTTTTTAGATGTACCTTTTTCCCTGACATTTCCAGTTTATCTCTGCCTTTTTAAAATTCCCTGACATTTCCCAGTTTTCCCGGTATTCCCTGACAGTCGCAACCCTGGCTCTCTGAGTTCTTTTTTTTTGTTTTTTTTTTTTGTTTTTATTATCTACCATTCTCTCTTTTTCCCTGGCAGTTCCAGTTTATCCCTGACTTTTAATTTTCCCTGACATTTCCCAGTTTTCCCGGTATTCCCTGCCTGTCGCAACCTTGGCTCTCTAAGTTCCTTTTTCTTCTTTTTTCCCCCTTTTTTCGGATCTCCCTTTTTTCAGAGGAAACATTTTTACTTAGAGAGGAGGTGGGAACTTACGTGGGCCAAGTTGGACTGCTTGACGGAATCCTTGACGGCCGGAACATGGGAGGAGAACTGGGATGCGAGGACGGAGCGACTCCTGGTCACCGACCGAGCGAGCTTGGCGAACTTGCTCAGTCCTGCCAACAGATCCCCTAATGACAAGAGACAATAAAACAGCTGAGCATGCAACGTGCGACAAACGGACAAACGTGCAACATCCAATCCAGCCTCATCGCCAACATAGCGCCAGCAGAGTGCCCACAATCAGATGGACTCGAGCAGGTCCAAAGGCAACGGAACAACACTTAAAGCTAAACGTGATAGGGAATCGGCAACAACTTCCACTTCAGTGGTGAGGCTCGAACAATCGATTATCGATATTTCCCCATTTGAAACTATGGTAAAGAATCGATTATCAAGGTGTTCGTTGCGAACACCCTCTCTATCGATCAAATTCCATAGGTTTCAATGGCGGATCAATCGATATATCGCAAAGCACGCCACGCCACTGTTCCACTTGCCACTGGCGATTTCCCACGTTGGTGCACAGTGGAACGAGTCTTTGGAAGAAGTCGGACAAGACATTTTAGATAAAAACGGTAAAATTTTACGTACATCTCGTCACAATTTTAATTTAAAGGGATAATTTTTAAAGAAAATTTTACGAGGAACCTAATGAAACTACTTTTAAAATATCAACGTTTTATATTATGAAGATATACGCTTTTAAAGTTTTTAAATCATATTCGACCTCTCCCATTGACTCCATCCACTGTGTGGCGACAGTGTTTTTTCTCCATTACTATACATTAAAAATATCGATTTTAAGTTAAAATGAGGCAGAGGGGACCGTCCCTAAATTGCATGACGATAAATTTGCGGTTTTTTGACACCCCCATCCCCTGTAACGCTACGTAACGCTCTTAACGCTAGACGCCCTGAAAATTACGTTACGCTTAACCGGGCCCCTGTCCCCCAGTTTCGATAAAAAATCATCTAAACATCGCCAAACATTTTCCGGATAAATTGGCGTTTCTATTTAGTGAGGAAAAGTGAAAGAATTGCAGAGAATATTTTTGAGTTTCTTCAAAACTTCCAAAAACGACCAACGAAGAATTCTACAGAAACTCGAAAATAAAATCACTTAAAATCGCTACGTAACGCTTCGCTCTATAGCCCCCCCCCCCCCCCCCCCCAACGCAACCCCTCCCCTGTAACGCTACGTAACGCTAAAAAAGAACCCATCCCTTAGATCGTTACGTAATTTAGGGACGGCCCTAAAGCTGTTTCACCATGAATCGATTGTTTAGCATACATTTAAATGGAGAAAAACAGTGTTGCAACTTCGAAGAATCGCCGCCGGTACTTGCCTGGCATTTATGACGTCACAGAGGGAACTTCGGTTCTAGGTAGAGTAGCACAAGTAAAAAATACGAAAGATTGGTAATTTCCGCGAAATATTTCATGAGATTTCACAAAAACTGAGAAAAAAAATAAAAAACATGAATCATACTTTCGGGGGCTGGGTATGCAACACGCACTAAACTCACCAAAAAGCCAAACCCACCTGCTTTCAGTTATTTATTATGCATTGAATTCCGAAAAACATTTTTCAATGCCTTTAACGTTTTTCTGAAATTTCATGAAATATTTCACATGAAATTTCAAGATTTCAGTATTCATGAAAAATTACAACCCTGGTTCTAGGGGCCGTTGAAGTATTGCGTAAGCCACTCAAGAGGGGAGGGGTTCTGACCTTACCTTACGTGGTCTTGAGAAAAAGGGAGAGTGGGTAAACGCATGTTTTCAAGTCGAAAACATGATATTCTCCGCTGAAAATAATTTTGCTCAACAATTCTTCATGTTTGATGGAGAAATTTTTTGGTAAAAATCGGGGGTTCGTCAATCCGAGCTTACGTGATTCAAAAAAGGGGGATGAGAGGTTGGCTAACAGGCGGAGATATAAGGTGGGAGTATAGGAAAAGAAAGTCGGCCAAAATGACGGACGCAATACTTGAACAACAAAAAAGAAAAATTAAGTTTAATGGAACACCAAAGTTTAAAGTCACACTGCTGTAATATCGGGAAGTACCACAAATCCTAACTAAATACATGCTATTGCTTCTCCTAAGTAATTAAGAATTTACAATTAAATCCAGGTTCATGAGGTCGTCACCATGCATTGAACTATTGTTTTTGGTTTATGCACTTTCAGTACGTTTTATTTCCTGAAATTCTCACAGGGAACGATGGTCATATTACTTAGGTTTGAAATCTACGCTCCTCAAATACAAAATGGGCATAAAATAGAGATGTGCGGATAAAAGATAAATTTTCAGCTTTATGAATCCTTGAGAAATTATACCAAAAACTGCCATTTGCCATCATTCTCTTCCAATGGAGATTCAGGTGAAAATTGATAATATAACTCGAAAAACGTAGAAGTTTCCGTTTTATGGCTTTGCCTTAGGCCAGGGTCATTAATTGAACCATCCAGTCATTTTTATACTCATTTCACATCCGATAGAAAGCTGCGGTTAATGAAGTCTAGATTTACTGACCAGCATGAAAAGCATACTAATATAAGAAACGTAGCCCGAACTGTAAGCAACGCGGTCGTAAAACGGTGCTGAGTCCACACTATTTTAGTGAGAAAACAAGGCGAAAAATTTCACAGATTTAAATCAGAGTAAAACATGTTAAGTTCTAATGAGCACCAGTGCAAGACTGCACTGGGAAAAAAGCCGCTTGGATCTAGAGTCCAGACTCTTAAAAATATCGACAAGAAAAAATACTCTTGATTCAATACGATTTTTTCCTGAATCGAGGAGCCGAGCCTCTTGTTCTAAGCGGATTTCCGTTTGATTCAAGCAAAAAGTCCAATTGAATCAAGAGTATTTTTTCTTTTGAATGTTTTTAAGAGTCTGGACTCTAGATTCAAGCGACTTTTACTTTCTCGCTCCCATAGGGTAGAGAGGAAGTATTGTCATCCTCCAAAAAAAAAAAAAAAAAAAAAGTTGAAATTTCATCATTTCTAGACGTTTGAAGGTCCCAGGAGTAAAAATAACCATACTTGAAAAAATGTGTGTCCGTCCGTGTGGCGTCCCCCAAATCTGTGTACAGCGATATCTCAGAATCTATCTGTTCGATTTCATTCAAAATTGGCACAGGACACCATATCTATGGTCTCCTTATGCACGTCCAACGATTTTGAGGTACGCTAAAATTTGGGGGGGCTACGCTCAATTGTCCATTTTTAGCAAAATCACACGGAAAGCTCATTTTGAAAGACTGTAAATTTTGAAAAATGGCTTTAATTCTTTAAAAATGGGCATCAAGCACATCATTTTCCAGTGTGAGAGACTCATTAGAGCTCAAAATTTTAATTATTACTTGAAAATTTTGAACTTTTTGGCCTTGTTTTCTCCGCAAAATAGCGTGAATCGCGCTCTCTACTCCACCACCTTCTTCTTTACTGACTAGTAATGCTGAAACCCCATTCGGAACCTCGAAGGAAAAGAGGGAGGGAGGGGGGTGTTGGATCAGGTGCTACAATTCGTTTTTTGCTGGGCAGTTAGTCTGCACCGATAGTCACTTCACCTAGTGAAGATATTTTCGGATCAACAATTAAGGTGTCAGATAAACCCGAAAAGGTCTCTAAAGGCTTGTTTGTCGCGACATAACGGGCCAGATTACTGGACGATCGACGAGATTTATGCAAAAATTTGTTGGAAACAGTACTCCCTCTCCCATGAAAAGCCCATGAACGCCGTGGCCCAGATTTACATTTGAAATCCGGGAGCGACAAAATAGCCTCGGCCGTTCCTCCAAACGTTTTTCATGTTTTTTTTTTAAAGCTTTGACCGGTGGAATTTATGATCCTCACTTTTTATGGATTAGAACTCAGGTTGTAAAAAGGTTGCCAAACCTTGGAAAATATTCAGCCCTAATTGTTATTGCATGAATGTTCGAGCCGATTTTTATGTTTACAATTGGGGAATTTATGATCCCGTTAGGGAGGCGGTCTGGAATTAATCGTGCGGTTGATTTTATGGGGATTGGATGGGGAAAGGGATGAAGGATAAACACGAAGCGAAAGCAGGGAGGGATAGACGGATAAGGGTGAGATTCCATATTTAAATCGAGTCTGGCGAAAAAAGCGCAAGTCCAAATACTCATGAGTTCGAAACCCCCGTTGTCTTGTTCACACAGCCGGCGGAACAAGATGCTTAAATTGTCATATCTTCGATAAGATTCGCCACTTTTTCTCCCGGGAAAAAAAAAAAATACTCATGAGTCCCGGCCTTCGTTGTTGAAAATGTCTCGTATGGCTCATGGGTACTCCAATATCCACATTTCTCGCATGAGGGATGAGAATATTAATTGAATATTTCGACATGCACACAAGGCGAAAGTTCGGATACCCATGAGCCACGCTAGACGACAGTTGCGTGGCGTGCCTTGCGATATATCGATTAATCTGCCACTTAAATCTATGGAAAAGGATCGATAAACAGGATGTTCGCAACAAACACATTAATATTCGATTCTTTACCATACTTTTCAATGGGGAAAAATCGACAATCGATCATTCACGCTCCGCTACTGCTAGACATATTAACACAAACCAGACCAGGGCTCACGAGCTTTTGGACTTCCGTCCTTTTCGCACAACTCGATTCATTTGGTGGATTGATCACGTGTAATATAAAACACCACATATTTCTCTCCAAAACTTAGCGTAGGAAATAATTGATGGAAAGTTAAACTCCCAAAGCAAAATATCGACGCGGGCACAAACATTCATCGGATGAAGAACTCAAAGCCAAAGGGACTTAATTAGAGTTATACTTCGAAATCAACACTGTGTGAAGCGATTAAGTTTTCCAGCGCATTCTAACAGTGCTCAAAAAATTTCGGAAAAATTGCTCTATTGTGCGTGAAAATGTGTTTCTATTTCCGGTCCAGAATTTGATTGAAAATAATATCTGGTCCATGATGTGGTCAATCGAGAAATGCAAATTCCGTCGGAAAAAGTTATTTTTGATTTCCTGAAAAATATTTTCATTGCAATCAATATTCGAAACTCACCTTTGAGTTTTAAGAGCCATGTGGTGCATCAAGCTCGATTTTTAGGGGACATTGAAGATTT